CAATTTTGAATCATTAAATATAGATGAAACGTGTACTTAAATTAATTTGAATAATAAATTCTGTATTAAAATACGTGTGGCAGTATAAAAAATTAATTTAGGATTTTCTCACATGTGATTTGTGATTAATTCCACCCCTCCCCCTCCATCCCTTTCAAATGTCATTTTTGCTTTTTTGTTTTTTACTTAATAATGTTGTTAAAATGTGTTAATTCATTTAGTATTTTGTCACACCAGCTTGTGGTTAATTCCTCCTGCCCTCCCTTTTAAATGTCATTTAAGTCTTTTTTCATGTGAGTTAATAAAGGTGTTAAAATGAGTTAATCAAGCCATTTTTTCATTGAGTTGAAATTTCAGGCCTACTCAACTATGGTGAGGTGCAAATTGATTTGAATTGACACGTTTAATTTTTTTAAAAAAAATTATAATAATATTAAAAAAGACAAGTCACTGGTTAAAAAAGAAAAAACTTGATCCATTGTTACATAACATCAACCATAAACATACACATCAATTAGAATTGAGATAATAAATCATATAAACATCTTAACTTTAGAATTATAAAAATAAAAAGTAATAAGTTTAGGTTAATAATTAGTGGTTTCAATCAGTGACGGATCTAGAAGCTTTGAATAGTGGAGACAATATTTTTTATGTATTTATAATATTATAAAATTTACATATAACTTTTAAAAATACAAATATATAACATAATTATTTTTTATAAGTTTTTATATTTACGATTACGATTAAGAATGAAAATAAATTATATTAAACTAAGTTATATTATAATTTAATATGTTTGAACCTAATTTTCCTTCTGTCATAAACAATTTTTAAATATTTAGTTAAAATTACAATCTTACAGACCTATTTTATAATAATTTAACACTAATAAAAATATAAAAATAAATATGTTAAATTATATAAAAATCAAGTTTAATTTATTTATGATATAAATATATTTTTAAAATCTAATATAATTTTTTAGATGATTTATTTTAAAATATATTTTATAATAAAGTTCTAAATAGAACATAAATCTTCCAACTTTTTTTATTTTAATTTTTTTAATCAACGTATACAATAAATAAAAAATACAAAAAATAAACATGCATGTTGCAAATTTATTTCGTAAAAAGTTATATTATTATATATGTAAGCATTAATATATATATATATATATATATCATAATTAAACTTTTTAAAAAAATAAATTCATTATTAAGGAATATTCCTTATCACTTATGATAACTAATCTCTTTTAAAAGTTTGACAAATATCAAATAAAT